GTTTTTTACTGAAAAATAAAATTCAATTTACTTTTTTATACGTACATATCTCAGAAGATTCTTTTTATATTTTCCAAGTGAGAAACTTGAGGAGCACAAGTTTTTTTTTTCCCACTATAAATTGTTGAATTTTAGGACACAAAGACAACTCAGGGGAGAACTAAGAACACTTTCGAGAACAGCAGAATGGGTTTAGTGAATCAATGTTTTGTGTTTGTTGGGGTTTTGTTTCTGAGCACTTTGCTCCTTTGCAGTGCTGATGTGCATAACTATGAATTCTTCGTGAGTGCCTTTCTTTTCCCTTTCTTTAACATGTGATTACATGTTTTTTTTTCCTTTTAAATAAGTAAAGGTCTTGTATTGTTGTAGGTCCGAGAGACAAACTTTACGAAACTGTGCAATTCGACAACGTTGCTGGTTGTAAACGGCCGTTATCCTGGTCCTGAGATTCGTGTTCATAGAGGTGATACTGTCTTCGTTAATGTCCACAATCAAGGAAACTATGGTTTTACCATTCACTGGTAATTAACTTTAATTTTTTTTCAATGGCAATTTCATGAAAAATCGAAATAAGTGATTAAATAAATCATGGTGCTGCAGGCACGGTGTGAAACAACCGAGAAACCCATGGTCCGATGGTCCCGAGTTCATAACTCAATGCCCGATTCAACCGGGTACCAACTTCACATACGAAGTCGTATTATCGGATGAAATAGGAACCCTTTGGTGGCATGCACACAGTGACTGGACTCGCGGGTCCGTCCAGGGAGCCTTTATCATTTTGCCGGCCGAGAACGAAACTTATCCGTTCCCGACACCAGACGCCGATCAAACAATCATGCTTCGTAAGCATATCTTTCAACGGTTACATATAATTAATTATACGAATCATAATTTGATTTCAATTTTCAACTGTATGTATTGGCAGAATCATGGTACAATGGAGACTACAAGCAGATTATCGATCAAGCACTTGCAACCGGCATACCTCCTCGCCAACCAGATGCTTATGCTATCAATGGGAATTTAGGAGACACAACCGGATGTCCCAATGGTACGTTCTAGCTATACGGTATTCGAGTCAAGTTTTCGTGTTTTTTCTAACCGTAAACCGAACCAAGAGCTTATGAATTGGTTGCTGCAGATACAATGTTCCGTATGCAAGTTGATTTTGACAAGACATACCATCTCAGGATAATCAATTCTGCAATGAACGAAGAGAAATTCTTCTCCATCATGAACCACTCCCTCACGGTCGTCGCACAAGACGCCTCCTACGTCAGAAGGTTTACAACTGACTATATATTGATAAGCCCCGGACAAACCATGGACGTTTTGGTATTTGCCAACCAAAACGCCGGCCAATATTACATGGCTACAAGGCCTTTCTCTGATTCCGCGGCTTTGCCTGTTGACTTCATTACTACTGGTGTTTTCGAATATTCAAACAGTGCGGGTGGATTGAATGCTTCCTTGATCAATCTACCCGCAAGAAACGATACAAATGCTACTAGCAGCTTTCTCAGCCGAATTAGGAATACAAGAGTCCCCCAGAATCCAAGATTGAACGTGCCGGCGAATTCCAGAATCAACAGACGAGTGTACATCGCGATCGCCACGAACAACTTACCGTGCAACACCTCACAGTGTCTTGTACAGAACAGAATAGTTGCGAGTATGAACAATGTCAGCTTTGTTTTCCCACGAATTGACATTCTCCAAGCATACTACAACAGGTAATGCAGGGACTAGTTTCATTTGATGATTACTATAGCTAATACTTACAAGTTATCCTAATATTTCAGCAACACTGGCGTTTTCACCCAAGATTTCCCTCTCAATCCACCAGTATTCTATGATTTCACTGGAAACCTGACTCTTCTAAATCCGGGAGCTGAATTAGGGACGAGGGCTGTTATGCTAAACTATGGCGATGCAGTGGAGATTGTGCTCCAAGCAACCCAGCTCGGTGCTGGTGGAAGCCACCCGATCCATTTACATGGTTTTAGCTTCTATCGAGTGGGAACCGGTTCTGGAAATTTTAACAATCAGACAGACCCAAGCACCTATAACCTGGTTGATCCACCACTCATTAACACTGTCCACGTTCCTGGTAGAGGATGGGTTGCCCTCAGATTTTTTGCAAACAATCCCGGTTAGTTTTCAAAAACTTGATTTAAGGATTTTAAACTTGAAATAATTGAACATAAAATTGACGTGAGTGAGTTTCAGGGGTATGGTTTATGCATTGTCATTTCGAAAGGCATAGCAGCTGGGGAATGGACACTGTTTTCATTGTCAGGAACGGAACTACGACGAAGACAAGCATTCGGCCACCTCCACCCAACATGCCTCGTTGTACCTAGAAATTGAATGATCGGAATAATTTCTGCATCTTTATTTGTTTTTAAGCGTTATTTGGAATATTGCTAATAACATTTTTCCTATTTGGAAATGTAACATTATAGTCCATAAACGATACTGTAATCTGATTTAGTTTGTAAGACTATTTGTTTGAGTTTTATATATGATATCATAGGAATGTGTCTTCGTTACGTTGTGGGAAACTAATTTTATTATATGTTCCTTTTCGTTAATTATTACATGTCCTTGATGAGTTCAAGTTTTCTAATTTATATTCTTATAAAGCCTGTCATTATAAGTATAAAAATTTGAACAAAAAGCCTCAAGTTTATATTATTTTTTATTATTTATTTTTTAATATAAATTTATGTAATTTTAACATTTACTTTACAAATAAACTTGAAAACAACATGTTAGAATTATGTTTTAAGAGTTAACGGAATTCTAGCAAATCACAAGATTATTTATGTTTAATCCAATGATTTAAATTATGATTGGAGAGAATAAAATATATGTTTAATCTCTTCATTTACGACATTTAGGGATGAGTAAAACTCTACACGACTCGAAAAATTAAAAAAAAATCAATTTCAAGTTATTCGAGTCGACTAGAGTTATTGATTCAGTTTTTGATATCCAGTCAAATTGAAATTTGAAAATTTTGAGTTACTCAAAAAATTGTAAATTTGACTAAGTATTTTAATAATTTTACGAGTTAATCCATGATTTCATTATTCCTTCAATTCCTCCTTCATTTTAAAACCATTTTTACTAAATTTGTACCGCATGCTCCTAAATCATCGTAGATTATATATGTACTTTCAATTCCTATTTTTGTTAGTAAGTTTTCTATTTTTTTAATTTATCCCCTTAATTTTTCATAATTTTCTTATTTATTCAATTCATCTTTTATTTTAAGTTCATGTTTATCAAATTTGAACCACATGTTCATATACCATAATAGAATACCTACGTAATTTCAATTCTTATTTTTTAACTAAAAATGTACTCACTTTTTTTATTTAGTCTCTTACTCAATTTGGTCTTTTGATTGCAAATTCTTTCTTCTCATCAATTCCTTGACTCTTTTACACTCTCATCAATATTCTACGCTCAAAATATTTTCTTTAAAATATAATATTATGAATATATTTTATAAATTTAGATTGTATTTTATATATTAAATAATATTATAATGTGACAAGAATATAATATATATATATATACATCTTAATGGTTAGAGAAAGTAGAAAAATTGGAACCAAGCATTATCATAATACTGTAAATAATTATTATAAAATTAATATAGAAACCCGGATAACTTGAATCGATTGAATGATCACCCCTAATTCATTACTTTTATGAAAGATCAAAATCATAAAAGATATAAAATAAATTTGATTTAGTCTTGGAATAAATAATCTTTGAAATTGAAAATTTGAGAATTATTTTTTTTATTTTTTTAAAAATATATTTTTATTTATTTTATAAGAAATTTAAAAACAAATAGTACTAAGAGAATAGAATATAAAATAAGATGAAGGAAGGTCACGTCATATGTTAATGGTGTATTTATCCATTCTTATTTGGATGAAAGTCCTTGGTTTATGCCTAAAAAGGTACGACTTCAAAGAAGAACAAAGGTCAAGAAAGGAATTTGTTTTTTAATTTTAGACATGGAGGTTATAAACTTGGATGGGTTCAAAAAAATCTGCGGAAACTGACCCTCTTTTTCAAGGAATGCCATCAAATTCTGAAGAGAGTTGAAAGCAATTCAAAAGCGCCCAGAATATAAGACCAACTCGTTGCTGTAAAACGTCCTATGTAAGTTATAATTAATCAAAGATTATAGGGTAGCCATCCTCTCTTTTTGAATTTTGCCACAATAAAGAAGAGTGTAATTCTAATTATTAGTGGTAATAAGAAGAATTTCACACATAAATCGAAAAATATTAGACCAGGGAGTATTAAATAATAATTACATCTTCTGAAGATTTTAAATAATTTAGTCTGATATAATATAATATTCCATCCATATAACAATTTATATTTTTAATAATATGGGGGTTATCATATATAATATAAATTTAAAAAAATTAATATATTAATAATGCATACACTATACAGCCAATGTTATTCAAATTTAAAACCTCTAGGAAGACTTTCTTAAGACTATTTTAGTTCATAAAAAATCACCAAACTTATTTTATATAATCTTTAATAAAAATGTCGTCTCATTTAATTCAATGAGAAAGATGGAATGTATATGTGTACATTTTCTTTTTTCATTTATCTTTTTCATGTGATTTCTTACTGATTAATCATTGTTTGAGAGAAATTTACACGTCCAAGATGACACCATTGTCCACGGAAATCCGTTAAAAACGCAAATCCAATGAATATATAAAGAGTCAATAATCTCGACTTTCGAATAATGAAACCACTATGGATATTAGAAAAGAAACCTCAATATTACAATATAAATGTAACACCCAGGTTAAGGAGCAGGCAGTTCTCTTTTGATTGTCTGGTATAGGTACATTTTAAAAATAATTTCACCATATAACAGTAAAACGAGACAATCAACACAAAAATCCAACATAATCCAAGAATGTATACGAGATTCGGAAAATGTATTGGCTAATCCTGCAAGTGATCCAAACTTAACTTAAAAGAGGAAAAAGAAAAGGCTTGTCCCGAGGTAAACTACAGGCCAAGTAGTACACCAGTAACACTAGCAAGTGTCGGACAATGAGAAGATTAGACAAAGTTTTCATTTTCATTTCTTTTTCTCCTCGCTGAATCTTTCGTGTATTCTAGAAACAAGCTCACAAACGTGACATTGACGAGATTTTCTATCGAATCTAATAATAAATTATAATTTTGCAAGCATTGGGCATGTGAATGAACCGACAGCAGATCACTTCTTCCAGAAAGCTTAAAAAAAGGATGGAAGATGACGCTGTTGACAGTAGTTGTATTGGAAGCCTACCTGCTATGACGGCAGCTGCATCTGATCTTGCCGAAGTGCCTGTTGGAGTTGAATGACCTGTTGGCGCTGTTCGGGTGGCAATGAACTCAGCTGTTCCGGTGTTAGGTTTAACACTTGCTGCAGTAAAACAGACTCAACATCCAGTGCGAGTTGTGGCTGAAAGAGAAACAAAACAATGATGTGAAAAGAAAAAGCCAAATACTTCTACGGGATTGTGAAGGAAATTACAAAACAAGTTTACATTTTATAAATAGACAAAAACTTGACAACAAACTAATAAATCAAGAAACCATATCAGTTAATGAACTATATTTCTTTTGCACAAAACCTATCTAATCCCTTCCCTTCAAACTCCAAGAATGAATCTTCTGCAATCACAACCGTAGCAGTTATGCGTGAGTAAATGAACTCGCAGGAAAGTAGACGTGATTCTTAACTTTTATATCCCCAAATATAATACATTACCTGAGAAGCCGGTTTTTAACTTTTACATCCCCAAGTATAGTGCATTACCTGAGAAACCTGCTTTTCAGCATATTGCACCTCTTCTGTTCTACGTATTTGATTAATGTGTGCTAAATAAACATCAAATGTTTGCGATGTTTTGGATCCACTTACATTGGACGTGTTCAACCCAAATGGTGACGAACAGCTTTTTCCCCCATCTAATTTCACCATTTTCAGAGGCCGATTTACTGCTTCTGAAGGATTTAGAACAATATTTGATATCTCCGCATTGCCATGTGTTATAGAGGGACCAGGCTGTTATAAAAATGAAAAAGAGAAGTTAATAAGAAATGCTGGAATATTAGAAGAAACAAAAACCAGTGTTCGACTAACTTGAAAAAGATACAGTCAGTGCTAGATGCTCAAGAAGATCACAAGAGAGACAACTGGTGTTTGTCTATGGAAAGGCAGGACAAAGGAAAGGGCAAGGATCCATCAATATGCTCAACAAATGAAAAAGGGGAAATATACGTTCAATCTCGAATGTGTAAATGAGAGATTTTCTTAAAACCCAACTTTAACTTGATGTCTCTTGGTGGGATTTGACCAACTGAATTCCAAAGCAATAGAACTAACAAGTTTTCTGATCAAATTTTCAAAACGCAACTTAAAAGTACATCTAGGACTGCTAAATTCTTAAAATTTCAAATCTAATGATTTGATGATTTCTCTCAACAAAACTATATAAGCAAAAATCAGAACATGATTAAAAGATGCATGTTTGTAATTAACATAAACCGTCACTAAAGTTGCTCTAGTGGCATGTTCTAGTCCCAAGATTTTGCACCTGGAAGCTGGTATCTGAAAAGGAGGGATGAGGTGGTGCTGATTGCATGACAGCATTTGGCAAAACCATCCGACTGCCATGACTTAAATTAGCAATTGCAAGCTGTCCTGAGTGTGGCAATGAAGGCTGCAATTGTCTGTTCAAAGATGAAGAATTTGCCACCTGAATTTGAATTTGTGGTATAACAGAGGTGTTTATAGAAGGAAGTTTGGGAACTACAGAATGTGAAGCAGCTGGCGGTAGAACTAGATGGCTGGAATGTTGTGGAAGCTGTGTCCGAGGCTGCAAAGTTGATTGTAGGGTTGCAGAAAATTGGTTGTGAGATAAAGAATTATGAGGCACAGAAGATATTCGACTTTGTACTTTAGGAATAAAGCCGGTCTGAACCGTTTCTGCTGTTGGCTGCTGACTATGCTGGGCATCCTGTAATGGAATCTGTGCATGTTGACCGAGAGGCTGTCGTATGTTTGGCATCTGCAACTGAAAAATTTTAAAGAAAATATCTTTTATGCGACAGTTTAAAAGCACCGAATAAACGATTAACATTCTTTTTGAGACAATGAAACAAACCACTTGGGAGGTGACCATTCCTAGCATTATTTGTGCCTGAAAAACAAAGGCGAATAAGTAAGACTGAATCTATGACTTCATCAAATAGTTTCTTAAAACGTTTAAAACTTCTGTAAGGACAAAGAACAACTTTTTATTTTAATCGACTTTCTAACATTTAGAAGTTCATTGTTATAAAAGTAAGGACACAATTCCAAACCATGTGATGAATGATCAACATCATGAGATTTTTAGATTTAAATACTATTTTCTCAACAAAAATACTATAATTTTATAACTTCTCATTTATGTTACATTTGAAAGGAGTATTATTTTTTTTTGTAATGTTTTAGTACATTTGATAGGAGTACTATGTTTACATTTATTTTACATTTGGTAATATTTAGCCACTCGCATTACTTAATTTGAACAAAGAGAAGGAATATGTTTTACTTATTTCAAGTTTAGATTTGTACAAATTTTTCTTTATGTTATGACACTATTTTAAAACTCAAGTAATAATTATGTTTTTTTCCTCATGTTAATACTCAAGTACCAAACGTGGCATCAATAATTCAAATGAACTTTTTGTCAACAGTTTTCAACCAAAAAATTAACTAAATAGCACAATAGTCATATGTAAAAGATAAACAATGCTGAAAATAGCTGTAATAAATATATGATAGCTAGAATGCAACGAGAAAAAAGTAATCATGGCAAAACACATTAGGCACATGCATATATGAATTGAGTTTATATATATATATTACATAAAAAAAGGTTCCAGTTAAAGAATGGGAGAATCATTCCTCCCTGCATGGTATTTTTAAGCCTAAAAAATAAAAACAAGAAAGAACAAGTACTTTTTCCACTTGAAAAGGAAGATATATCAGAGGGTTGTCCACATAATAAAAGAATTGGAGGAAGCACACATCATGATATGGAAATTGTATCCTCCATGTAGAGTTACATACGACTTAGTCCAAGAACCTAGTATATAAGATTTGTGCAGATAAAAATACAAAAGCATAGAAGAGATAATGGGACATGATTGTAATTAACCACCCAGAGGCCTAGAGAAGGTCCCTGTGGAGATATCGTAAAAAGTACAATAATCCATACAAAAAGCAAGAGATGCAATTAGGATTTTTGGCTACACTTGGCAGAAGATAGTTGATTTTCAATAGAATGAACAGATTCTTTATAACTTTTTTATTGTTCTCGTGGCAGAAAGATAAATGGTCAAGTTTTGACCACAGACCTGCTGCTAGTGCATTCAAATTTGCTTTAAGTCACTGCACCTCAATTTTGTAGCAGAACTAATCTGTCAGCTGGATATTCTAAACAATATTGCTGTTGTGATGATTATTTTATTCAATCTTATAAAAACAATGTTTCTGAACATATAACTGCTGCTAATCTTTTCTCAGAAAGAGAGCATTGTTCAAATTCCTTTCTAGAGATAAAATTAATGATACTTTGAGATTTATAGCTAAAATGAAAACAAAAATGTAAGAAGTAACTCATCAAGTTATAAACATAAAAGGTTTGAATTTATGACAATAAACTCATTTCTTTTTTTTGGCATCTGGAGTGTCTCAATGACACTTTTAATCAAGGGAATCTGGATGAAATTTATGAGATAGATATTAAACATCTGAGATAAATAACTCTTCATCTTTTCTTTTAAAGAAACACCAAACAATGAAAAATACCTGAAAAATAGCTTTCAGTAACTGAGGTTTTGAAAGCAATAGCTCGCGAGCTCGTTCCTTACTTTGCGTAGCCATTTTCTGTTGAAAGAATATCATTAATTAAAAGAAAACGAGCAAAGCTCCATATAACAGTTTGTATTGCTCAAGTTATACCTTCAGCTCAGACATAATTTCATTCAGCTGGCTCCTGGACATTTTGGCAAGATGGAGCGTTAGCGGATCAGTAGCTGGTGCTGGCTGACCTGGCAAAGCATTTTGATTATGCTGCAGACCAGCCTGCACACCACCAAGAGCTTCAGCCATGAGACTTGCAGCATTTATAGCTGAATGGAGACCAACAGGCTGCAGGTGAAACATTTCGCCCTGGACTGCTTGGCCTCCTTTATTTTGAGAGTCTATGATGCGTCAGTTAAAGGGGGAAAAATCAGGCTGTATTCCTCCAAAAGAAAATAACCTGAAAAAACCATAAAAACTAACCAATATTTGTTGCCAGTCCAGGTCCACCACGGGCCTGCAATAGAACAAGATGCACTGTTTAAACTAATTTTGGAAAACCAAAAAATCAAAAGCCATATTCAAGGAAGCAAACCATTATAAGGAAGAAGTATCATCCAAAGAAGTAGGATAATGCATGTATATGGGCTTTTGTTGTAACGGAATAAACCTCTGTAACCACATAGAATCCTAGATATAATGATTAATCTCTCTTTCTTCCAGCAGGGCTATTTATGCAGAGGCATTGGTCCATAACATCAAGTTCATTGCAGTTTTTTGTCCTTTCTATCACTTTTTTAAGAATTGAAATATATAACCTAATAAACTAATAAACATACAAGAATTGAAAAACTAAAAACTTTTAAAGTGAAACGAGAACTGTATCAAATAATACACGGTAAAGTGCAGGCCTCCTTTTATGTTATCCAACAGATTAAAGTAAATTTGATCACTAAAAGCTAGGTAGCATATAAAATTTGTACAGATCATCCATAAGTACAGATTTAGATATATAGATATCACATAGAAAACATACTATGCCAGTGTGACTGAAATTACACTTAAAATACAGATAGGAACAGTTTGGAATGGAGGGAAATTCCGTATTTGTAGGCTTAAATTAAACTAAACTACACTAAATAGCCACCACAGTCCACGCCACTTGTGACATTAAGACCAGCGTTCATCTAATCACATTATAACCAGTTTAACTGTAAGAAAGGAAGCTACAATAGTGCCAAATTTATCACCCCGGCCAAAAAATCAAAGATGCACAAAAAACAGTTCACCTGCTCTCGGTTTTTATCGGAGCCTTTGTCATTTTCAGCAAAATCAACTCGTAATTGCCGGCCGTTGATCTCATAACCTTGAAGATTCCTTCGTGCACTTAGGGCTGTCTCCTCATCCATGTACTCACAGAACCCATAACCTTTTGGTTGACCAGTTTCTCTATCAATAACTAATCTGAAAGTAGAAGGGAAATTTACAAATGAAGAACTCTAAAATAGAAAAATATCTTCCAAAAAGCAATTTCATCTCAAATCAAGTTAACAAAGAATTTTTCTGGGGATTTTTCGTCAGTCATGCATGATGCACTCAAACTATTAGACTGTTTTTATCTAGATGTTTACTGAATACTCGTGTATGACTTTGTTCCATATTCCTCAATAACTTAAATCCTATCTTATCCGTCAAGGTCAAAAGATTATAATATTTAATAAACATATCTTCAAATTTTCATAGTCATTGTACTAGTCCCAACCATCACTATCAATTATGCAACTAAGCAGTTAAAACAATCAGGCAACTCAGTTTGCCTTAAAAGCTTTCCATTCAGTAATCGGTACCAATTCTTTTCTGGCATAGTAACATACCTAAAAGCTTTATTTAAAAGGGGAAATTGAAGCTGAATCATTTTAGGCAAATTAAATTCCAAATGTCGAAATATTTAAAAAGAAAATTTCAAACCTGAAAGAAACAACAGGGCCAACCTCCCTGCAGATTTCTATAAGCTGTTCCTCAGTAGCATCATAAGGTATATTCCCAACTGCCAACCAAAACAAAATCAAAATAAATAACGAAATCAGTATCTCTGCATGAAAAAAATCAATTCCTTCAAACTAATATCAACTAACCAATTAAAAGAATGAAAACAAAAATTAAATCCTGAGATTAATTATTACTAGTACACAAATATTTTTCAGCAATTAAACAGAAAAAAAATTCTGAAAAATCAAAAGCAAATCACACGTGCACACACACACAAGCGCAGAGAGAGAGAGAGAGAGACCGAAAACGCAGCGATGCTGAGGAGCGGCCATGAAAAGGAGATTAGAATTAATAGGAGAAGAAGGTGAAGCGGCGTTGCGGCTTCATCTTCTTCTTCCTCCACGTCGCTCTTCTGAATTCAAAGGGAGGACGCTGAATTGGTTCCTCCAAAGATTTGCTTTGGATTTCTCCGTATTCTTCTGGTACGAGAGAATTCAAGAAAAACAAGAAACGAGGATTTGATTCGTTTTTTCTGTGTGAAATCTGAAACACAAATTTTCAACCAGAAGAAGGGAGGAGGAAGGCTAGGCTGCTGTTTAGTCACCTTTTTCTAGTAATTTATCAATCCTTTCCTCCGTATTGGAATATGTATTTGTGTTAGGATTATTCTATTTAAAAATTATATTTTACTATTAAAATAGATATTTTGATTTCAAATATTAATATAATGTTAATTAAATTATTGAATTTAAATATCTCTTATATTATTATTAATTTATCGTCCTGGGTTTTCATAAATTTGAGCATCCACCATGTGAGATATCTTTGGCATCTCCCGTGAAAGGATTTGCATTTTGTATGGTGTCCGTGGGATCCGTAGCTGCCGCAGCAAAACGTCTACGAACCCTGGAAATCACCAAAACCATAACAATTAGATCACCGCCACATTACCAATCCCTTAGACTGGTTTAATGCATCATTCGTACAATCACCTTGTCGTTCGGCATCACTAATTAGAGCATATGTGGCCGAATAGACATCCACATATCCAAGGAAGTTGCGTCCTCAATTCGGATACTTTGTCCTTAAGCTGCCTACTGAACTCTTTAGCCATCTCATTTTGAGGGATAACACACCCATATCGGTCCAAATCGTGAGCCTTAGGGTGGTAGATCATGACACTGAAGGGCAAGCTCCCTATTGGGTCCATATTATGTATCCAAAACACCCTAGCCCCCTCTCCATTTAACAGCTGCAACACAAGAAATTTTTAAGGACATAATACAAACACAAAACCATACATTTTCTCCGCAACAAGTAATATTCTTTTTCCTTACATGAATAGATTGGGAGAACAGGTTAAGTATTCGAGGAATGGAAGCTCGAATTTTGGTTTCTGCTCGATGTTGAAGATAACCATATCCAATGTGTATATAGCTTTGGATAATTCATCAGGTCTTGGAAGATCGATCCTGTGTTGGGAAGAAGACCGACGGTTAAGCAAGAGTTGGTTGTAGAGAGCAGTAGTGCGAGCTTTGAGGTGTATGAACTGAGAAACTTGGGTAGCAAGGTTGAATGGACCATAACCACATTTAGGTTGAATGCAGGAACCACCTGCTGCAAAATTAGCACCATGCCTGAAACTTGTCCCCATTGAATCCTGGTAGGCATTGAGGTATGGTAAACCCAGCTTCTCGGCTGCACAAAGGGAATAATTGACATGTAAACTATTAGTTGTCATGCAAAATTATTAGTTGTCATACAACTAATAATAGTTGTATAATGCATAATAATGGTTCATAATGCATTGTAAGTTGGCAACAATAATGGTTCATAGTTGGCACTAATAATAGTTGAAAAGTGACATGGCAAAATCTCACATTTAATCATTGTAATTTAGGGTATTATCAAGATTAGTCCTTAAAGTTTCTACTATAAATACCCTAGCTCATTTAGCTTCAAAATCATTCCAAAGCATTCTAGCTTTCTTCCAATACTAGAGAATTTAGAGAGTTTCTTGAGAGTTGTTTTCTCCTTTTTATCAAGAGAGAATTATCATTGTTTTCTCCTTGGTAGATCGAGAGAAGTTGTAATTCCTATTTTCTCATAGTGAAATTCTTCTACCGTTGCCCGTGGTTTTTACCCTATATTATTTAGGGGCTTTCCACGTAAATTTTGTGTCTTTTTTATCTTCATTTTTATTTTCTCAAATTATCAGTTACGATTTTGCTCTATCCGATAGCCGTCTTCCGCAACAATTGGTATCCGAGCCAGATTAGAGTGTGTAATATTGGTTTATTGTCTTTGTGGTTGCCACCAAAAGGTGGATCATCCAACATAAGAAAGTAAGAAGTTATTACCCATTCGTTGAAGGTTCCAGAGAACTATTCACGATAGTGAAATAGTGGGAGCTATCCGTAAAAGAAGCTATGGCAACGAAATTTGATATTGAAAAATTCAATGGGAGAAATTTCTCATTGTGGAAATTGAAGATGAAAGTCATCCTGAGGAAAGATGGTTGTCTAGCAGCTATCAGTGAAAGGCCGGTGGATTTCACAGATGACAACAAATGGATCGAAATGGATGGGAATGCTATGGCAAACTTTCATCTAGCATTAGCAGATGAAGTATTGTCAAGCATCGAGGAGAATAAGACAGTTAAGGAGATATGTGATCATCTCACCAAACTGTACGAGGCCACATCTATGCACAATAAAATTTTCCTTAAGAGGAAATTGTACACTCTCCGTATGCCAGAATCTACTTCAGTGACGGAGCACTTAAACACACTGAACACTTTATTTTCTCAGCTTACATCCTTAAGCTGTAAAATAGTAGAACAATAACGTGCTGAACTTTTACTTCAAAGTGTACCGGATTCGTATGATCAACTCATCATCAACTTGACAAACAATAATGTCACCAGTCTAGTCTTCGATGACGTTGCAGCTGCTGTTCTACAAGAAGAAAATCGGCGCAAGAACAAGGAAGACAGACAAGTAAATCTGCAACAAGCAGAAGCGTTGACAACGATTAGAGGGAGATCAACAGAACGTGGCCAAAGCAGCAGTCACAAACATGGTAGATCGAAATCGAGAAGCAAGAAGAATTTAAAGTGCTACAACTGTGGAAAGACGGGTCACTTGAAGAATGATTGTTGGAGTCTAAATAAAAACTTCAATCCACAAGGCAATACTGCAAACACTTCAGATGATGGAGATGCTCTATGTTGTGAAGCGTCAACCACCGTAGAAGGTAGAAAGAGATATGCAGACATATGGCTCATTGATTCGGGAGCAACATATCACATGACCTCAAGAAGAGAATGGTTCCATCATTATGAACCTGTCTCAGGAGGATCTGTGTATAGTTGCAATGATCATGCCTTAGAGATCATTGACGTGGGAACCATTAAATTGAAGATGTATGATGGAACAATTAAAGTTGTTCGAGATGTGCAGCACGTGAAAGGCCTGAAGAAAAATTTATTATCCTACGGATTGTTGGATAATAATGCAAGTAAGATTGAAACACGAAAAGGAATCATGAAGGTGTTCCATGGAGCGCTTGTGGTGCTAAAAGGCGAAAAGATAGCTGCAAACTTGTACATACTGAAGGGCAAGCTCCCTATTGGGTCCATATTATGTATCCAAAACACCCTAGCCCCCTCTCCATTTAACAGCTGCAACACAAGAAATTTTTAAGGACATAATACAAACACAAAACCATACATTTTCTCCGCAACAAGTAATATTCTTTTTCCTTACATGAATAGATTGGGAGAACAGGTTAAGTATTCGAGGAATGGAAGCTCGAATTTTGGTTTCTGCTCGATGTTGAAGATAACCATATCCAATGTGTATATAGCTTTGGATAATTCATCAGGTCTTGGAAGATCGATCTTGTGTTGGGAAGAAGACCGACGGTTAAGCAAGAGTTGGTTATAGAGAGTAGTAGTGCGAGCTTTGAGGTGTATGAACTGAGAAACTTGGGTAGCAAGGTTGAATGGACCATAACCACATTTAGGTTGAATGAAGGAACCACCTGCTGCAAAATTAGCACCATGCCTGAAACTTGTCCCCATTGAATCCTGGTAGGCATTGAGGTATGGTAAACCCAGCTTCTCGGCTGCACAAAGGGAATAATTGACATGTAAACTATTAGTTGTCATGCAAAATTATTAGTTGTCATACAACTAATAATAGTTGTATAATGCATAATAATGGTTCATAATGCATTGTAAGTTGGCAACAATAATGGTTCATAGTTGGCACTAATAATGGTTGAAAAGTGACATGGCAAAATCTCACATTTAATCATTGTAATTTAGGGTATTTTCAAGATTAGTCCTTAAAGCTTCTACTATAAATACCCTAGCTCATTTAGCTTCAAAACCATCCCAAAGCATTCTAGCTTTCTTCCAATACTAGAGAATTTAGAGAGTTTCTTGAGAGTTATTTTCTCCTTTTTATCAAGAGAGAATTATCAATGTTTTCTCCTTGGTAGATCGAGAGAAGTTGTAATTCCTATTTTCTCATAGTGAAATTCTTCTACCGTTGCCCGTGGTTTTTACCCTATATTATTTAGGGGTTTTCCACGTAAATTTTGTGTCTTTTTTATCTTCATTTTTATTTTCTCAAATTATCAGTTGCGATTTTGCTCTATCCGATATCCGTCTTCCGCAACAATTGGTATCCGAGCCAGATTAGAGTGTGTAATATCTGTTTATTGTCTTTTTGGTTGCCACCAAAAGGTGGATCATCCAACATACGAAAGTAAGAAGTTATTACCCATTCTTTGAAGGTTCCAGAGAACTATTCACGATAGTGAAATAGTGGGAGCTATCCGTAAAAGAAGCTATGACAACGAAATTTGATATTGAAAAATTCAATGGGAGAAATTTCTCATTGTGGAAATTGAAGATGAAGGTCATCCTGAGGAAAGACGGTTGTCTAGCAGCTATCAGTGAAAGGCCGGTGGATTTCACAGATGACAACAAATAGATCGAAATGGATGGGAATTCTATGGCAAACTTTCATCTAGCATTAGCAGATGAAGTATTGTCAAGCATCGAGGAGAAGAAGATAGCTAAGGAGATATGTGATCATCTCACCAAACGGTACGAGGCCACATCTATGCACAATAAAATTTTCCTTAAGAGGAAATTGTACACTCTCCGTATATCAGAATCTACTTCAGTGACGGAGCACTTAAACACACTGAACACTTTATTTTCTCAGCTTACATCCTTAAGCTGTAAAATAGTAGAACAATAACGTGCTGAACTTTTACTTCAAAGTGTACCGGATTCGTATGATCAACTCATCATCAACTTGACAAACAATAATATCACCAGTCTAGTCTTCGATGACGTTGCAGCTGCTGTTCTACAAGAAGAAAATCGGCGCAAGAACAAGGAAGACAGACAAGTAAATCTGCAACAAGCAGAAGCGTTGACAACGATTAGAGGGAGATCAACAGAACGTGACCAAAGCAGCAGTCACAAACATGGTAGATCGAAGTCGAGAAGCAAGAAGAATTTAAAGTGCTACAACTGTGGAAAGAAGGGTCACTTGAAGAATGATTGTTGGA